GTTCTACAGGTCATATTTGGATCTTTACCCAATATTTGACGCATGTGTTTTAATGTTACTAACTGTATTAGACGTCTTCAGATGACCACTTTTTGGTTGATTTTCAATTGACTCCCGGCTGTCTTTGAATCAACTAAACCAGTCATAAACTTTGCCTATCCCAAACACAAGTTTATGACTGGTTTAGTTGATTCAAAGACATCATTCCCATACACTTATTTTAATAACTTAAATGTTTCAGTAAAAGTTTTCTTTAGTGTCATGCAGAACTTAATGTTGACATGTTGTTCCATTTCAATTTTCTGGCTAGGGTCATGAAATAGCCCTTACATTTCTTGCCACACAAAGGATTGTTATGAACTGATTCAAATGCTATTGTGCACAATTGATAAAATTCAAAATTTTGAATGTTATATTGACTGTTGGTACTAGTGCCATCTAGTTATATTTCTAGAGCAAAAATTTGGTTTCTTTTAGACCTGTACAGTATTTTTGTAGTTCAAAAATCACTGCTAGAGATGCTGTTTCCCCTCCCATTATACTTTGAACTTCTTAAATTATTTTGTTTCCCTCCCATATAACTCTTCCCCATGATCTGAAACATGCAGAAACCAAATTTAGCAAACCTTTGCCCATTTGTTCTCTTTGTAGAAGGTGATGAATAGGGTTGGTGCTGAATAATTTTAATCTGAATCATCTTGTGCAAAATGCATGTTATATTCTTATGTAATGTGCATTTTGTGTGTTTTGGAGAAACCTAGTAAAGATGCTCATCATTTTTTTCTTTATTTAAATCATGTTATTGTTGGGAATTAAAATTTTAAACATACTTTGAACTTCTTAAATTATTTTGTTTTCCCAGTTAGACTCCTGAAGATGGTTGATATACTTGAATATAGATCCAAAAACATTCTGACTTATACACATGCTTTGATCAAAATGCTTTTCCTGGAACAAAATATAACAGGTTTTCATAAATAGCAATCAAATTTTTTTTAGGTTTTGTTATTTAACAAGCTCCTTTGTATTGAGAAATGGAAAATTATCAACTAAGTCTGTCATACTATAAATATTAATTGCTAAATGTTATCAATTAAATTTATTAAGTTATTAGTTAGCTGACGTATACAACAGCATAGGACAGTGGTATTCAAATTATGTTCTGCAAAGATTAAATAGGTAAATGTCTCTTCAATCCGAACAAATTTTCGGTAGACTTTCTCACAGCTCTACAGGTTATAAAACTCCTTTATTGTTTTTCACAGATGTATTTCGGGCAAGTTTAATTTTCCTGCTCCTCTTCAGTGCTACAAAACAAATTCATATTGAATTTACACAAAACAACTTTGAGTAGAAAATGCTTACAAGACATAAAAAGACATTTTATAATACCTTAAGATTTCCCTCATGTTTCTTCATCTCTTTTACAGTACTTGTACGATCAATTTACAATGTTTTCAAATTTATAATTTCCAATTATCTCTTAAGGGCGTTTTACATCGAAATCCATACCATTATGCTACACAACTAATTACAAATTATAATTATTAGTAACATTTTAAATCACTTATTTATAACAAATTTTTTCCTTTAAAAAAGGTTATTTACCAAAAAATACATACATACATGTTTTCCTTAAAAGTGTCACAACAATAACACAGTAGTATACGTTGTATAAACTTTAAAAAGGTTCAACATACAATAAAATTTTCTTTTACACGACAATGTATAATCTTAGAAATATAAACTATTGACTTGTTGCGCCCCCTATCATGTTATACCATTGCTGGTCGATTTGCATGCCATTGGAAATGTTTATTAAATTATTACCATTGTATTTCATTATTTCTATATGTTCTTTGAATTTACGTTTATATATATTTTTCTCACAGTGTAGGATTTTAATATTATTTCTATCTATTTTGCAGTTACTATTTTTGATGTGGTTATACCAAGGTGAATTATCATGTTTTAACCGTATGGCAGCTTCATGTTCTTTTATCCGTAATTCCAAAGTTCGACCCGTTTCACCTATGTATTCTTTAGGATTTTGACAGTTGCAATTAATTTTGTAAACAGTTCCAGTTTTTTTCAATTTATCAGTATTGGTTTTGTATTTTCCTAATTTATTTGAGATTTTATTTGAAATTTTATTGGTCAAAGATGGGGCCAAAATTATATTGTCTTTTTTAAGGCATTTAGAGCTATTATTATAAATATCAGCTATGTAAGGGAAGGGTTTGTAATTTTTATCTTTCTTATTTTTTGTTATAAATCTATTATTGTAGTATTGTGTATGCCAGTTTTTTAAAAGGATTTTTGGATAACTATTAAGAATAAATTTATCATCTAATTCGTTTAATTCAGTTTTGCGTTTCTTTTTACTGGTAGTTCTAGTATATATCTTTTTTAATTCCATTATATATGTATTCTTTTTTATACTTTCTGGGATATATGAATAGTAACTGATTGTTTTGTTTACATTGGATGGTTTTTTATAAGTTTCAAATGAATATTTTTCTTTTTCTTTTGTTATAGTTATGTCCAAAAAATGAATTTTATTGTGTTTTTCTAATTCTATGTCAAATTTTATATCCTGGTTTATGCTATTTATTGTATTTAAAATTATTTTGTCATTTGTTATTTTATTATTAAAAATTAATAAGTAATCATCCACGTATCTCATTGCAGTTTTTACCCCAGGAATGTTCATGATTTTATTGTCAATATCTTTCATTACTAATTCTGCAAGTTTTGGCCCCATCTTTGACCCCATGCTAACGCCATCTGTTTGTCTGTAAAAATTATTATATACTTCAAAATAATTTCTTTTATATGCAAATTCTATAAGTTCTAGTAATGCTTGATTAATTTTTAATTGTGTAAGGCTGTTTTTTATTAATTCCCATTTTATGTTCGGATACATATTTTTCACATCTAAACTTATCAATGTGTCTGTTTTTTCTTTTTTTATTTTTTGAATTGTGTTGATTACGTCATCAGCATTTTTTACACTGTTTTTGGAACCTTCAAAGCTTTTTAATTGTTCTTTGATATATTTCTCTAAATTGTAAAGTACTGTATATCTAAAATCAACTATGGGTCTATATTTTTCATCTTGTTTATGTGTTTTTAATCGTATGTTTAATCTTGGGGTTCTATTGTTTTTAAAATTAAGTATGTTATTTTTATCTATTTCATTAATCTTATTGTTCAAATACATATCTTTAATAATTTTTGTTAAATCTTTTTTTATTTTTTCATATGGATTATTATCTAATTTTATATATTGTTTGTTGTTAATTTGTTCTTTTGTTTTATTTTCTAAATCATTATTTACCTCTTCAATCCGAAAATTTGTTCTGATTGAAGAGACATTTACCTATTTAATACATAATACAGCTACCATTAAAAAAATTCTGCAAAGATGTTTATAAGAAATTTTATTTATATTATTTTCACTAAAAATAATGTAAAATAAAAACACCATTGACGTCTCTTTCACACATTATTTCTTTAAACTTTACTGGTTGGATTCTGTAAAAAACAATTCTCTAACGTGTGTGTTCTGTGGATGTTAGAAATTGAAGACCACTAGCATAAGAAATTAACAGCATGTAGATACCTCATTATTTATTTACACGCATCAAACTGAAGATGCCGTATAGAAATGATCATCATATATTTTCAAACACTTGTTCTTAAAATTATGCTTGGTTTCCTAATATTTAGTTTAATTTAGTGCAAGGGTGGCCAACAGTTTTTGCCCCTGGGCCGAATTGGAAAGAAAACTTTTTTCACGGGCTGAACCAGAGGCTGCCCTAGGAAGATTTTGAGGTGGTGCGAGATCTCATTGTGGCGTCACTCCGTAGAGATTAAATTGTACATAGAGTTACGGGTAATTTTTCACATTATCATGCATTATCAACATTCTACACTGTGCTGAAGATGTTTGTAAAGGAGCATTAACTCTAAATGCACAGTGAGTTGTTGACTTCAATTTTTTTTTAAGGTGTCAGAACTTTTCGTCGAGCTATTCAGTCTTGAGTAGCTAGTATTGAAACATTAATCGCAGGTCGTGTAAATTCATTAGATGGGTCTGATCCGGCCCACATGTTGGCCATGCCTGGTTTAGTCTGTTGATCATTTCAGTAAGTAATAATTATTCCAAGTCTGTAGCAAAATACAGTATACTTACATATTTAAGTTAAATAAAGAAGATCCATAGACATATAATAAAAACATATAAAGAAAAACAATGTAGCAACACATACAATAAGAATGCAGATATAGGATGTTTTAACACAAATTGAATAGGCAATTTAACTAAAATCCTTGAAAGCATTTTTCAATACAGTAGAGCGTCATTTATCCGAATCAGTTGGGGGACTGGGGTTGTTCAGATAACTTATATTTTTTTGTACATAATCAGTTATCCGAAAAATATGAACCTATCCCATGTTGAAATTTTTCTCCATTGCGTGTTGCATCACGTTGAATTTTCGTCGATGTTAAGCTTAAAGTAAATTTTTTAAAATAATAATTGTGGCTATTGTCTTGTTAAAAATTATTTCTTTATTTTGTACAAACAAAATAAATATATTGAAAAATATAAAAACAAAAAAATTGTATTTTGGAAGTTAACCTAGTATCTAAAACGTTTGATTCAGCACGACACAGTCAGACTGGAACGCTTTCGGTTAACCAATGTTTCAGTTGATCGGCTTTCGGATAAACGATGCTCTACTGAATATTAATCTTTTCCTCTGTTCTAAAATGAATTCAAATTTTTGAATAAAAAAATTATTTGTATTATTTTATTATATATATAATCCTTTTAATGATAATTATTTGTTTATATATAAATATTATATAAATTTCTTAACAGAATTTTATTACTAAACAGATAATTTAACTACTGTAAAACTTACTAAATATTCATAAATATCTTGATGATTTTTAAAATTTTAATCATGTTCCTATAAAAAAATTTTTTTCAGGAAGGAAATAATTTATATAAAAGTAAAAATTATAAGATGGCAATGGGAAAATATCATAGAGCTCTACTTTATGTTAAAGGCATTGAAGAACATCATCAAAAGAATAATTTACCCAGCATGTTTTATCAAGGCAACTTAAGACAAAATAATACAAAATCTTTATCAAAAAATATACAAGAAGAAGTTAAGATATTGAAAGCGGATTGTTATAATAATCTTGCAGGTATATATATATTTTTTTTTTCTAAACTATTTTTTTATCTTTATATTAATATTGTTGTTATTTACAAGTTAGCAATTCCAGCTTATCATAAAATGATTTACAAATCTTAATTAATATATATAGTTTAATAAAATAATTTCATGATTTTAGTATTGATTATTCTAATGCATATGTTACTGTGAAAGACCGAAATTAGAGAATGTCGATGTTCTCTGGTGAATGTTGACACATACAAAATACGTCAGAGAAAAACTGAATATTTTGTTATATTATTATACATTCGAACAATTGCCGGTGTATGTCGACAAGCACAGATAAGCTTGGTGGAGGTCGAAACGACACCCGAAAAGCCAATGTTGACAGAGAGGCGACAGTCTGTCGCCAAATCCTTTGTGAGTAGCCAGAGATAGGACAAGGTCGTACCTCTTTTCCCAGCAACGGTTTGGTGGAAATTGCCCACTTTGTCACTGGATGGTGTTTTTGTTCTTTTGATCCCATGAGGTGGGGTCGAGTGACAGAGGATGAGAGGGGTCGTCAGTAAGGCGTTGGCGATATCCGAATAAAAGACACCATTAACAGATAATTTCGTAATCACGTAATAACATAATCAGTTCGTAATTTGTAAAGAAAAGTTACTTTCCATACATGAGATTTCTTCTCAAGAAATATCACTGAGAGAAGCAGCTACAGCTAGTTCGAAAAGTGGAGGACAAGGTTGTACACGCTGTCATTGCAAAAAGAAGTGTTCCACGAATAAATGCAGTTGTAAAAGCAAGGGACTCAAAGTGCCATAACAGTAAAAAACCATTTAACTATCCAGCATAATTCTTTAATAACATAAATGCTCAATGCGTTTGAAAACGTTTTTATGTTATTAAAGAATTATGCTGGATAGTTAAATGGTTTTTTATTTTTAAGTTGAATTCTCCAGTAAGCAAGTATACAGTTATTTAGTGCCATAACAGTTTAAGTTATTGCAATAAATAAGATTGTATAACGTTAATCACATAATTTATGTGTATGTGTAATTTTGTGTATTATTTTTCTTTTCTGATTAAGAATGTACTGTTCATTTTAGGTTCAATATTTTATTTACATGTGCTGTTACTTAAGCTTTCTCCTATTTTGACATATTAAAAAGTTGCATTTTTGTCTTAACGTAATAAACATACTTTTATTCAACATTCATCATCAGTGCATGCTGAATGTCGACATTTGCCGGTGTAAGTGAGAAATAATGATATTTAGCAAATATTCCTACATACACAAAACGAATGTGTGAATGCTGACATTCACCAGAGAATGTTGACATTCGCCAAATATCGGTCATTCACAGTAACACATATAAAAATTGGAACTGGATGTAAGTTATGGAGAGACGCTAAAGTAATGAAACCTATCAGTATTGGTTTTTCAGTAATAAATGATAAAAATAAAAATATGTAGTTTACCAAAATTTTATGTTGTCATCTGTTGTAGTTTTGCATTTAATACATATTATATATACATATATATATAATATGTATATATATACATATTATATATATATGTATATATAATATGTATTAAATGCAAAACTACAACAGATGACAACATAAAATTTTGGTAAACTACATATTTTTATTTTTATCATTTATTACTGAAAAACCAATACTGATAGGTTTCATTACTTTAGCGTCTCTCCATAACTTACATCCAGTTCCAATTTTTATATGTGTTACTGTGAATGACCGATATTTGGCGAATGTCAACATTCTCTGGTGAATGTCAGCATTCACACATTCGTTTTGTGTATGTAGGAATATTTGCTAAATATCATTATTTCTCACTTACACCGGCAAATGTCGACATTCAGCATGCACTGATGATGAATGTTGAATAAAAGTATGTTTATTACGTTAAGACAAAAATGCAACTTTTTAATATGTCAAAATAGGAGAAAGCTTAAGTAACAGCACATGTAAATAAACTGTTGAACCTAAAATGAACAGTACATTCTTAATCAGAAAAGAAAAATAATACACAAAATTACACATACACATAAATTATGTGATTAACGTTATACAATCTTATTTATTGCAATAACTTAAACTGTTATGGCACTAAATAACTGTATACTTGCTTACTGGAGAATTCAACTTAAAAATAAAAAACCATTTAACTATCCAGCATAATTCTTTAATAACATAAAAACGTTTTCAAACGCATTGAGCATTTATGTTATTAAAGAATTATGCTGGATAGTTAAATGGTTTTTTACTGTTATGGCACTTTGAGTCCCTTGCTTTTACAACTGCATTTATTCGTGGAACACTTCTTTTTGCAATGACAGCGTGTACAGCCTTGCCCTCCACTT